GATTAAGTATTTATGTTGCCACAGACTAACATGGGAAACAAGTAAATTATAATTATTTTTAAAATTGTGTGGAATAGTTATTGATTTAGCTTTCAACATTTATAATGGAAACGTCAGATACTGATAGTCAAACGTTTATCAAATGTAAAAATGTGATTGGAAAATACATATATCAGGTAAAAATATGTCCTCAAGTACTGATGTAGTCTACAGATGTCAAAGTTGGCATTTGAGATAATGATATGACATCAGGTACTGAGATTACGGGAGTGTCTTAACAACAAAGGATCAAGGCCTATATACGGTCACTACTGTCTTTCATAGCTATGTCAACGAGGTGAGACAACCATCAAAGAACCAAATCAAAAGCTGCGAGCATCAGTATCCACATTCAACAATGCGGATCGCCAAGAGACAATGTCACACCGACACTTTATCCAAACACAAAATTTTGTATTTCATAATACAAGTCACACAGGGAATACAGAAATTATTTTTAAAAAAATGTGTATTTTATAATACAAGTCAAACAGGGAATACATAAATTATTTTAAAAAAAAAAGTATTTTGTAATACAAGTCACATAGGGAAAATAGAAATTCTTTAAAAAGTTATGTATGCTAATAATTAGAAGCATAATGCAAATCACTGTTGGATGAAATATGCACGTCGCGTATTTCGCATACCAGAAGTCGCAATAATCTATATTGAGGTAAACAATATAACAAGTTACATTGATAAAATATATAGCTCATGCCTTTGACTGTGGTCGATATTCCAATAACGAAAAGTATTGATTTACGTCTGTGTGTCTTAAAAATATAGGAGGCTTCCCAAGACAAGAATAGACAAAAAGGTTTTGGCTAGGGTCCATGTTGGCTTTGTGTCAAGACGATAGCTCCAGGACCAGTGGCGGAACTAGAAAAAAAAGGGCCACCCCGCAAAAAATTTTTTGGTCCCCCTCCTACACACACACACACACACACACACACACACACACACACACACACACACACACACACACACACACACACACACACACACACACACACACACACACACACACACACACACACACATATATATATATATATATATATATTTTTTTCTATATATATATATATATATATATATATATATATATATATATATATATATATATATATATATATATATATATATATATATATATATATATATATATATATATATATATATATATATATATATATATATATATATATATATGTGTGTGTGTGTGTGTGTGTGTGTGTGTGAATATATATATATATATATATTCTGTGTTTGTATATATATATATATATATATATATATATATATATATATATATATATATATATATATATATATACACACAGAATACGAACATAGGATACTTATTTCTTTTATAATCGGATTTTGAAAAAAAAATTACAACATGCCTTATATATGAGTGCAAAACCTCTGTTTACAAAACTTCTGTTTTGTGTTATATTTGCCGTAATACTGCCTATCATGTAGCCGGTCAAACGAATATAATATGTGAACGCTTTGTATGTGTAATGGTTTCTAGTGTTATGTTTATTTTTTTTGTTTTTCGTATTTATATTATTAATTTTAAATATATTTCCTTTTTTCTATGTCATTTTTAGTATGTATTTTTTTAATTAAGAGAAGTATATGTTTTTTAATTTGTTTAGTACAAATCTATTAAAAGGAGCTTATGAGCACCCCTGTTTGAACTATTTAAAATAGGGAAATAAGTCATGGAAGTGTTTTGAAAGTTTGCCTAACTTTCACACTACAGCTCCTGCATATATATTTTTACGCTACAGCATGTGTTAGCTGCTGTATAACATCACTACTGGAGTAGATATGTTTGTTATTTACAATATAGGGGGGAGATCTGGCACTTTGTGGCGATGTGTTACGGAGAGGGGGGGTATTGTCCTAATAAGCGCGACGTCATTAATGGATGTCCCCCAAAACAAGAATAAGCAAACGTACATACAACCCAAATTATTGTTATTATATTCTTTCTGATTATTTGTAGAATACAGGATAGTACAGAATAGTAGTTCTACCAATACAAAAAAAGTACATTTTATATTGTAAAATTACAATGGATTATTGTCTCTTAACCAACGCTATAAAGAAGCAAAAGTCGTCGTAATATCTCGCGGCCTCTTTTCAAAAGAACTTTGCCGACAACAGCGTGTGTTTGATTGTTGGAGAAAGAGGACTCTTCTCTCACAATGGTTTAAAAACAAAGGGAAAAAGAATATACAAGAGCGTGGTATGGTGTCAATAGAATAAAGATAACCCAACTGCAGCTACAGTATTCTTTTTTACAAAAAATCCATTAAGTCAAAAATGCAAGCCAAATAATTTTTTAACTATATAAAATTGATTATGGTCGGTGTGGGCCCCTAAATTGTGTGCCCTCCCCCCCCCCCCATTGCGGGGTCTGGCGTCACTGTAGTTCCGCCCCTGTCCAACACAAACACACGAACTGGGTCTACAGTCACCGTAGGTACACACGACACTTATCAGGTAGGGTCCGTTTGCAAGAAATTTACTGAGAGTATTAATTGTTCAACATTCACCCTATTGTCGAGTTATATTTTCAAGTAGAACATCACATTGTGTCATAATTACTAATATATATTATCCATATTAGGATTAGCTATTAACCGATATTTTTGTGTGATTTGTGTACCAGAGGAGCGTACATATATACAAATGCGTTTTACCTTTTGCTTAATCAATATTAAATTGCATTTTGGTTTCTACGGAAAAGGAGATTTTTTTTGTTTTCATATGAAATAATTAAGCTGAATCATGAATTGGACAAGTAGCCAACGGACAGGAAGAAAAAGTGAGTTACTTTAGCGGTTTAAATGCTTTATCGAAATTATTATTTATTTCATACCAAATGCTGGAAGGATTTTTTTTTAATATTCGACATCTATCAAAGACTTTAAACGAAATCTACACACATATTTTAAGATTTAATTATGACAATATTTTATTCTACGTTTCAACTTAAAATATCGACTTGTGTATGGCTAGTATCGATAACAAATATAGGCCTAGTTGCGTTCATCAAGTTTTTTCATGAAATTTCGTTTAAAAAACAATTAAACACACTTTTCATAAAACAAAGCCAATTTGTACTAAAGTTTTAATGGTCCAAATATTTTATAATAGAATACGCTACCACTTAGCGGTTTTCAATTTGTGACGTCCACACAAAAGTAAGTCGATGGGAGGGCTCGCAAAATCAACTTTTGTGGACGCGTGTGGACTGGGGGTTTGGTGGTTTGGATCCATTAGGACGTCCACAAGCTGAATTTCATATTACAGAATTTCACTTTAAAACAAACATAAACTCGTATTTTGCCCGTAAAAGTAATATTAATACGACAGTGCTCTTGTTTAAAAAAAAAACAAGATCATTCATGCTGATGTTTATATTATCATATCCATATCATAGGCACGTCATAATTTCACTTATTTTTGTCCTAGGTGCTTTTACCATAGGGGGTTTGACCATATGTGGTTTGACCACATATGGGATATGACAATAGAGGCATTGACCACAGCGGGGCTTTGACCACAGATGGGCTTTGACCACAACAGGGCGTTGACCACAGAGGGGGGGGGCACAATATATAGATTTTAATTTAAACTTATGATACAATTAGTACCATTTTATACATGTTTCCTGAAAGTCCATTAATAGAAATTAACATGTACTAAAATAATAAAGAACGATATTTTAGTCTCCACAAAGGCTGGTGCAAGAACTTATAGTTTTATTTTAAATATAAGTGGAACAAAAATAATGCGATATATAACAAGATTAACAAATAAATAATGTAGATGAACTTGAAAATACAAAGCTAATATAAAGGATAAAAAAAAGGATAAATAAACCTGGAGTGATCTCCCCTAAACTTTCTCGAATATTCTTATATTAAATAAACCGGGAGCGATCTCCCCTAAACTTTCTCGAATATTCTTATATAAAAAACAGTGGATGGGAACTCGGGATATAGACTTGAATTTTAATCCATTTTAAAATCTTAAACTTTTTAAAATAGAATAAAATCTCGTAGAAAAAAGAATTGCACACTAGTAAACGCCAAATAAAATGTGCATAATAGCGCGGAATATTATTATTACTTTATAAATTTACATAAGTTTTTGAGAAATCTTAAATAACGTAAATTAGTATTTCCGGTCAACAGAAATTACTCAAAATATGACAGAAGGTAGAGGATTAGATCGTTTACTTACATGTGAAATTTCATTTATCTATCTGAAATAGTACTCAAGTTACAGGCTTATGAATAATTCAAAGTAAAAAAAAAAACACTTCCGTTTATCGGAAATCACTATAAAGTTGATACGGATCTACGATTTTGATAAAATACTTTTGTATGAAATTTCATCAATCTAGTTGTAACGGCACTCAAGTTCTCGTGTTTACACACACACACACACACACACACACACACACACATACGGACAAGATTGCAAAGTTATGTTTTTCCGTATCAGTGAGGTGTAAAACGTCGAGGTTTGCAAAAAACTCGATTTTTTGCACGATTACAAGACTTTTTCTATACAGATGAATTAATATGAATTAATATAATATTACATTCTGCCACAATTTACAATATAATTACACAACATTTACAATTAATCCTTACCATATATGGATACAGCGCTTGTTATCAAATGCCAGCATTGGACAAACCACCTGTGAACAAACCCCCGATGGTCAAACCCCCTATGGTCAAAACCCTGTTATGGTCAAAGCACCGCTGTGGTCAATACCCATATGGTCAAAGCCCCTCTGTGATCAAACCCCCTATGGTCAAAGCACCTTTTTTACCTCCTCTCCCCCTTTCCTTGCTAACGTTACACATCGTCACAAAAAGACACGTCTCAGCTTGCCATCAGTGGTAAAATTAAATTTTCTACAGAAGAGGAGCCAAAGACAGTTCAAGATTATTAAAATGAAAGAAGAAAAAAACAGTCAAGTAGAGTTTATTCCAGGTTAGTGACTAATCTACTAATACCAAATAAAAACAACGTAATTTCTAATACCAAATAAAAACAATGTAATTTAATGTAAGCATGTAAAAAATGATTAACAATTATTTTTTTGCATTTTTTCTCCATGTTATTCGCCATGATGTCCAGGACATCATGAATGTGAGATCTGTCCTGGAGGTGAAGCTGACTTACACCAGCACTGTGTTGACTGCAAGAAAAATCCAGGTCATGTCAACTTTATACCTGTTAGTGATTTTAACTTGGATCATCTCCCCTCACGTTACCGTGACGTCACCATGTTGACGGCAATCAAAGCTTTGTCTGCCCTAACGGTCCTGATAAAGGTCAAGTACACCAGTCTAGAGAGACCAGAATCTGGTGGATGCTTCGGTGGTCAGTATCCATGTTATTGCACCAGAGGAAGTGACGTGTTGAGGACAGGGACGGGGAGGGTGTGGAGTGTTGTTAAGTACACAGAGAGTGACAACAAGGGCACTTGTCCATGTGGCAAGTGTCAACACTCGGACACACCCAGCAAAGTGTGGGGGGAGTTTCGTGTGTTGACAGCCATCCATGTGGTTTTTGATGACAGTGAGGCGAGACAGACCAAGTGTGTTGTAGGTTATGATGACAATAAAAGTCCTGGGGTCAGTCTCGATGGCTGGAGGGTGGAGTGGACAGATATTGAGGGAGACAGATGTGTTATTACATGTGCGTCATGTGACTTAAAGTTGGTTGATGAACTGGACAAGATGTGTTTGCATTTTCATAATCTATGTGGGAAAGTAAGTGACAAATACTGGAGGTTTGTTTATGTGGACAAGTTGACCGTTATAGTGTCACATCCTCATGGCTGTTCTAAACAGGTCTCTGTAGGAAAATGGACAGATAAAAAGCAAAAGAAGGGTTGGTACAAGTACACGTACACGTATACAACATGTACATGTCGCGGCTCCAGTGGAGCCTATGTCTACATACCGGGATATGTCAGGCAGTCTTCACATCCCCACAGTGGAACAAATTCTAAAGGAAATTACAGTGGACAGGGTGGGTTGGTTGTATGATTTAGATTTAACGGTCGATTCTCTTCCCTTGTAAGCACAATATTAGCGAATGCAATGACTTCTCCAAACTTTTAACTTGTTTGCTGAAAAAATGAATGTCTTCAACAGTAATTTTTGTTTTCTGGTGGAGACAACAAATAATTTATTTAGAACTAGCGTACCCGTCCCCGCGCGTTGCCGCGGGAATAGAAGAAAGTCCGACGAAATATATAAAAAGGGTTTCATCCATGCGTTACCAATCCTATATTCTTAGACTCGTGACCTTGTTTTCTAAAAGTGAGTTATTTAAATGTAAACAATGCTTACGCTTGGATCATAAATATCGGATTACGGGTTTTCCTACACTACCGCATGAAAACTTTTGGTGTACATTAATCGCTCACCGAAATAATATGGTAGAACACTCCTTGGTGACCGCTTATGTGTCAGAGACGTATAGGGGCGCTATCAGGACCCCCCCCCTCCATTGCACTACCGCATAGGCGCGGCCTACCACCCCTGGCTCCATAAAACTAACAGCGCCATTGTGCCAAATAGCATCATGTTAACAATGATGCAGATTGCGTCATTCGCTAAAGTGACACAAATGAACAGGATTTGTTATTTAACACGTAGAAACATTATTTGACGTGCTTTAAACATCAGTGTGACTGATGCAATATGTTACTTATGGTCTATTCTTAGATGCTCGATCTCAATTGCTGATTGGATTATCTAAAAATAGATGCTAATTGCATCATTCGCAAAGTGACGAAACTGTTTGGATTTTTTTACGGGCAAAAAGAAACATCCCAGTTTATAATCTAACCTTGGTTAATTTTTCTGATTATTAAAATAAAACGTATTACATGGCCCTCAGCGGCCCATGTGAGCCTTTGGATGCCGAAACAGGCATTTTTATTTGCAGCCTAATTGCACCCTACCAGGGCGCCAGGGGACACGCCTGATTCAATTTAGTAAGCGTTTGTAACGCCCCATCGTATCTATTGTCTATCACACTGCTTAGACCGAACGTAGTCACCATAGCGCTCACGGGAAAGACCAGGGCGCCAAATCGCATCCTGCCGTGGGGCCGCCAACGCAAAATTAATTCCCCCCTTTCCCATCATCAACCCACTTCTATTACCCCCTCCCACCCCATAAACCTTCTCATGAGTATTCATCAACTCCCTAAAGTTTTATTGTCTTTTATTTTTATATACCGTATATAGAGAAAAATCCCACCATTCCGTGGCACCGCCCTTGCGAATTTTAAAAATGATTTTTTTACAGAAACCTCCCCTGGAGTGTTCTAATCAACTCCCCAATGTTTGATGGCGATCGGAATAACGCCGTAAAACCGCAATCGACGTTTATTTTTATATACCGTATATAGAGAAAAAACCAAATGCGCTTTGCCGGGGCGCTACACCTGCGAATTGAAATTTTTTTTTCGCAGAAACCTCCCCAGGAATATTCTCAACAACTTCCCAAAGTTTCATGGCGGTGTGATAAGAGGTGTGGTAATGCATAAAAGACGAACAGACAGACAGACACACATACATTACTTTATATATATAGATTATAAAACATGTAAATAGAATCCAAACAAATGTTCAAACCTATACTTAAGATTGTATAGGTCTCTTATGTCACAAGCTATTTTTTTTTTAATTTTATTGCTTGCATTGATTTTAATAATTTTTCTTTGATTCACTCTATTGTCATTGATAGTCTGAATGTCTTGTGTTGATAGTAAAAATGAATGGTAGCCAAGAGGAATATCTGTAAAACTGTCAAGTTTGTAGCTGAGACGTGAATCAAAAATATTGCATGAAAATTTGTTGAAACTGTCATACTCACAATATACTAAAATATCCAGGCACTGGAATACTAACTATCATTGTTATGTAAATTTGTCATCAGTTTTTTCTTACATTCTCGTATATACGAAGTATAGAGAAAGTCTTGTAATCGCGCAAAAAGAAAAATCGAGATTTGTATTACAACAGAATAGTCATCTGTCAAATGACAATTTCAATTAACCTTCAATCATTATTCTTGTTCTCTAAACAATACCCTGCCTTCTACTTACCTCATTTAAATTACCCGCCGCCAAAATTACTGTAATCGAACATTATCTCACTATACATGACCGGAATCCTAACATTAGATGTAACGCTAACCTGTGCTAGAGTTAATATACTTATTCTTGAACTTTCCGCTTGCACTTATTCATTATCTTTTCCCGTTCGTGCCCAAGATGATCCACATGGGTAGATGAAGTAGAGGGAGGATGTGGTCTGCACTACATCTAGTTGCCTTTACTTTCCCCAACGTGAGTTAGGTACCCATCGGAGCTGGGACGTTCTACTGACTGGAACCTGGATTCGAACTCGAGACTTTCGGGTCAGCAGCCTGGCTATCTATCGCTAGGCCACTGCGCCCCTACTTACACTGATTGATATTTTATAATTAGATTTTAAAGTCTAATGTCCAATTAGGGAAAAGACAAAAAAAAACAACAAATTATGTCTTACGTTTTCATTCACTGTGAAACAAATCTGCCACAAGAAATTAAATTGTTCTAGACAGTCAACCAGAGGCGTATCCAGGTTTTTGTTGTAGGGGGAGCGAAAAGAGCAAAAAAAGGCGCCGAATTTTTAACACGCTCTATATACGTGTATTTTATATATATATATATATATATATATATATATATATATATATATATATATATATATATATATATATATATATATATATATATATATATATATATATATATATATATATATAATTACTAGCTGTATGTCATTACTTCGTATGATGTAAAATAAATTGAAAGTAGCACTCTGAAGAAATAAGAAAAAACACACTATGTAGGCCGCCAAAACAAATATTGTATCAATCTAAACACAAAAAAACAAACAAAATATACACACACTACAACCAAAAACAATGAACGTAACACAATCTGTTTTGTAATTCTTGTAAAAAAATTTCTTACATAATAATTCCTGGGAAATTATTTAAAACAAGTGAAAAAGGGGAAACAATCACTCGCTTAATATAAATATGTATATATCTACACATTTAATTATAAATGTCAAAACAAATAAATAATTACTTCAGAATATAATGTATTTGTTTAACACTATTAGTGTTAACAAAATGTTTTTGTCTATAATCAGAATTAAATATATCGTCATTATAAATGCTAAAGTTTTACAGCATAATGAAAGTTTTTGAAATCATAGTTGGTATAAAAGCACGCTTTTCGAATAAGATTCACCCAATAACAAAATACTAATCCCGCACAATAAAAAACCACATCCAAAAATGAAAGGAAAACAAAATTAAACTAAACTGTACATACACAAAAACCATAATCTAACCAAAAAAAGTCTGCGATATAAACGCAAGTTTGAAAGCGGACTTTAAACCCCAATCAACAACAACATAATAGATAAACATTCTGAATAACATCGCTTTTCGATATAATGGAAAAACATTCGGAATAACAGCCTATAATCAGCGACTTGTCGGTCTTTTAATTCAGATCATATATTTTTTTAACCACTGCATCTTTGTGTTCCTTAAAGATCATTTTTTAACATAGTGATAGGTATGGTTTAGAAACACTGTATTGCTCACACACCTTTTTACTGTCCGGTCACTTTAGGTCAATAATCCAACCCAGTGTATACCTAGGTTTGACATTAATGCCGCTCTACACAATTTTGGTGGTGAGGTGTGTGTGTGGGGGGGGGGGGGAATAACCAACTCAGAGTGAACATAGCGTCAGTTTTTAGATGACCGTTCTAAACATACATATATATTACACATGTATACTGATTCAGAAATAGATTTAAATAAGTAGCAGTGGTATAATGAAAATATTTTTTTTTTTTACAGAGGGGTCCCTGGGGGAGGGGGGTTGTAACTGTTTCATATAATTTTTAATCGTAACACTATCACCCAAACTGTAAGAAAACTACTACTTCATCGTGATGACTTTGCTGACCGTGTCAAAATTTCCCCACCGCTACGCAGTTTGCCCATAAGTAAATTTAAATAGAGGTGCAACATCAGTTGTATTTGCTTCTGTATTGTAATTTTCAAAAAATTAATCACACGATTCAAACTGTATATATAAAGTAATTATGTGTGAAGTTTTATGTATAACATTTTCTAATGCAATTATTCGTTAGCAAATACATTATACAGTTGCCTTAAACTTAACACCCCTCTTGCCAAGTGGTACTACCGGTAGAGGATTTTTAAAAATTCCAATGCATCGTAATGGTTATTTTTAGAATGGCAAACTGATGCAGCCGTTAATACGTGTTGTAAACGTAGACACTACTAGACTAGTACAATAATGCTTAATTGCTGCATGAAAAGAAATCTTGTGATTTACATAGATGTGCCAACCAAAAATATTTTTTTAACAAATATCATTGTTTAAAACTTTGAGTTTAAAAAGTTTCCAAAAAGGCGCCACTTTGCTGAAAATGGCCAGAGGGGGAGCGGCCGCTCCCCCTGCTCCCCCCCTGCGTACGCTACTGCAGTCAACATTTCCACACTCAGCGTGCGAAAAAAATTATAAGAAAATTTTATTACAGTTACATAACTGGATGTTATTGTGGAAGTATAACAGAGAACATAGTTTTACTGTACTCAAGGTGAAACATGAGGTGAATCTTATGTAACAAATAATTACAATTTTTTACTGCTTTACACAATAACATACATCTTCATTTGCTTACCTTTGTCGTCTTGTTTAGTTGGTTATTTTCGTTTTTTATTTTAAATTTATTTTTACAACAAACTTCTTGTACGTTTAAAATAAGACATTTAAATGCTAAGCTAGCTCACGGACAGTTTCAAATGTTTCAATATGCTAAAGTATCTATTTCAACAAAACTTAACTCTCAAATTAAGAGGCTTGAGCTAGATAAAACGATGTAAAGGTTACCGGGTTTTATATATCACCTGGCAATGTCAAGGTGAAATGTGTTAATCGGCTTTCTAAGAAATTTATTTTTCCCAGAAAATTCTACTTTCTTATAAACGAATCGCGTGTTGTATTCAAATATTATTGAACAAAATAACGCTAGAGGTAGTTTGTTGGGCAAAGTTATTTAAATGAGGAATGCAATTGAGTAGTAAGTACTTTTTACTATCAATATATTTTACAGCTGCAACTATGACACAGAACACACTTGCAGGTTTGCTGTTAGCGATAGTAACTTTATCTTTACATACACGGCAACGAATATATTAGAAAATATTACACTTATTATATAAGCGTGATATGTACAGCATAATAGGGGTGGGAATTATATATATATATATA